GGAATTTTCGAATCTTGCCGATAGTCGACTGATAGTCGAATCATATGTTTGGGGGCGGGGCAAAATACATTACCAAGGGTCAAGTAGTCAGACATTCGATAGTCACAATTACTGACATTAACACACAGGGAAAATGTGTAACGGATGCCTTGCAGATACAAACGGGGTAAATAATGTTTTATGTTTTGATTAAAAGATAGTTAATATTAAACGTCAGCAAAACCCTAAGAATTCACAACATTTTTTACAATGGTGCTCTCATTATAACGTTATGTATATGACAGTAGTTATTAATGTTCTGCATTTTTGTTTTGAGCTGCAAGGGCTGAGGATGACCAGAATTAAGTATTTGATAGCAGGTTTTTAATCAATGGGATTTAACTCATCATTTATCTCATATAGAATACGCTTCGTTATTTATACAACATAACGTTAATATTCTACGTATAGGCTATGTTGTATAAATAACAAAGCGTATTCTATATGAGATAAATGATGAGTTAAATCCCATTTATTAAAAACCTGCTATCAAATACTTAATTCTGGTCATCCTCTGCGCGTGCAGCTCAAAACAAAAATGCAGAACATTAATAACGACTGTCATATACATAACGTTATAATGAGAGCACTATTATAAAAAAGTGAATTCTTAGAGTTTCGCTGATGTTTAATGCTATCTACCTTTTAATCAAAACATTATTTTTGTATCTGCGAGGCGTCCGTTTCACATTTTCCCTGTGTGTTAACGTCAGTAATTATGGCTGTCGAATGTCTGACTTGACTCTTGTTAATGTATTTTGCCCCCGCCCCCAAACATATGATTCGACTATCAGTCGACTATCGGCAAGATTCGAAAATTCCAATTCGACTATGAAAATCCTTAGTTGGGGACACCCCTAAATATTACCACTTTTATAAACTTACGTTACGGTGTTCGCTTGGTTTGAGACTATGTCCCAAGAGGATGTCTGAGTCACAGATGAAAATGGCTTATTATTGTAATACAGTAAGTAATACATGTTTGAAACAACAAAGAGTGAGTAAATGATGACAGAACTTTCATTTTTGGAAAAATGGGCCCTTTAAGAAATAACTAATGAATTTAACTTGATGCATGAATATGCAGCTTTAAATAAATTTAAATGTACTTACATGACAAAAGATGCAGCGACCTGTTCCTGGTGGCTCTTTATCTGCATCTGACACAAACCAAATGGAGAAAAAGAGGAAAAATCAATGAAGTTCAGTGAAATATTGCATATATCAATACAAATTAAGATGTATTTTAGACACCTTTGAGAAGAGATGCAGGTTGACTGCTAGGTTGATCATTTACAACAGTGGTGTCCTGGAGGACCAACATCCTGCAGAGTTTATCTCCAGCCTGTCCACACGCCTGCCTGGCGGTTTGTGGTAATCCTGAAGACCTTGATCAGCTGCTTCAACAGTACAGGATTGGGGCTGGAGCTTAACTCTGCAATCAGGACTAGATGGCAATCAATACTCAAAAGAGAGAAGAACAAACATTATGTTAATGGTTTAAAACTAAAGTTGAAAAAATTATTTAATATATGGTATATGGTATAATATCTGAGAATGGAAAAGGGAGAGAAAAGAAAAAATGTATCAGTCAAATAGCATATTACATAGGTTTGTATGAATAAACATGCAGATTAACTATACAGTCAAGAGAAATCATAATTACATGAATAAGTTACCTTAATATTATTTCCTGGGCTATATTTTTACATGCACTATATATTTTCATAATTGATTGTTTAATTATTGATGGCTGGTTACATCTGACAGTGATCATCTTTATGGGTACATACCGTAGGCTACGCTAACGACTCCTCTCTCTCTCTCTCTCGCTCTCTCTCTCTCTCTCTCGGTGCACGCGCCAGCTTGTGTGTGAGACGCGCAACTCTTCCTACAAAGATATTATTTATAATCTATTATTTTGAAGTAACATTAACATGACAGTAATATGACTGTATCTTTGAAATAATCTTTAAGCGAATGTAAGTTATATTGTTTGCGAAGCGGTCGTAACGTTTCGTTACCTGTCAGTGCGGAGTTTACCGATGTCTATCAGTTATGAACAGCCATATATGAATGATAACGAGATTTAATAAGCGTGTGTAGCCGAGGTATTGTTTAATGCTATATAAATCCTCGTTTATGTTGCTATTTAGGACTTTATAACAGACATTATACGAACTTAGCTCCATTATGTATTGCTCGCTGTTATTAAGTAATCAAAACAACAACAAAACAACAAAGGAAAATAAACCAAATTGACACCAAAATGGTAAAATAATTACATTTAATTCATTCATGAGCAATTTGAAAGGATATATTACAAGAGATTACCTCAGAAAACAATCTGAATGGGCTAGTCGGCCGTTATAACCGTTGGTCATTTAAAAACGCAACAAGCAACACTGATAATCTAAATAAAATATGTGTAATGGTTGGAAGGCCTGGAATTTACCAGTAGAGGTCGGCTGCAGAGGTTTTGCTGGGCAGTCACTCTGGAGAACCCTTGGGCTGCTGGGTATTGAAGGGATGGCCAGGAAACAGCTGATAGGCAAGGTTACCGAACAGGCTGAAACAGCATCTCAGTGGATCTGGATACAGCGGGAGGTGAGGTGGCAGAGCCAACCTATTGAAGGGCGAACAACGACATAGAGTTGGTGGTGGTCAGCAGGGGTAGATCCAGGACGCTGGATCTGCTGTCGAGCCTTCCCGAGGTGTCATGGGCTTAAATCGGTGAAACACCAATGAAGGGGGGTGCCCATCTGACGACCAGCTGTAACTACCAACTCTTTGACCTGGTGCTTGAAAGGAAGAGAGAAGGAGAGGAGAAGTGATGCCACTGGCTCACAGTTGGTGCAGGGCTAAGTACCTGTAAAGGTGGGCCAGTTGTGATGGCCTCATTGTATTTTGCATATAGTAAATATATAAACATTACTATTTAACTTATTTTAACTTTGTGATCATTTGAATGGATGGATGGACAGATGGACTGTCAAGAGCATGCCAAGCCAACAGGAGGCGATATAATCTTTGATATAAAATCTATAAGCCTTGCTCAAGGGCACCTCAGTCGTGGTATTGAAGGTGGGAGAGAGCACTGTACATTCACTCCCCCCACCTACAATCCCTGCCGGTACGAGACTCGAACCCACAACCTTTGGGTTACAAGTCCAACTCTCTAACCATTAGGCCACGACTTCCCTGTTAATGACCGTTATGTCATTATATAACATAATAAACAAATTTATATATAGGCTATATAAACAGTTCATTCTGGTCCTAGCTTTTGTCTGGTCAATACAGTATAATATATATTCACATGTTCTCTCGTGCCTTATTGCTAAAATACATTTAAACTCTGTGCTTATGTTTCTTTAGTATTGTGAAAGACTACAGCCGAGCTCGCTGCCGCCACAGACCCCAGCAGTCCAGCATTACCACAGTGGTGCGGTCCCATCAGTGGGGCGTTTCTTACGCCCCGGCCCCTAATGACATCATCTGGTAAGTCGAAACGATAGCCACATCAACAACTATATCTTGAAACAAAACAAAAAAAGTACAGGAATGACCGCAGTGTTGTTTTTTCTTCTATGAAATGATCTGGATTTACAATGTTTTATATGATGTTTTATTTAAAGTTTACTAAGTATACAGTGATCTTGCAAGCTGAAGTCATATATATTTTTCATGACATGCTTTGTTCCAGGCCATTACACTTGGATTTGAGAGATGAAATTGGATTAATTAAATCTCAATCTGAGTGTGTGCCTAGACAGCCACTGTGAAAGCCATTATAATGTTGTAGCATGTTTGCTTCTTATTAAAACCATTCATTGAAGTGTGAATGTTTTCCAGTTCAGTGTAGCCCGTGAGTTCGATGTTTTGTACCACTGCATTTATAGAGTAAATGGTTTTGCAATTTTGGAAAATTATTCAGTGGAAACAATTACTTTTGAAAGGTATTTGTTTGCATTTTATGTAAACCTCATTCTCATTGTTATGCCTTTTATGTGTATTGCTATTACTTAAAGTGACAGTTCACCAAAAAAAAATCATATTTTTCTTTTGTGGGACACAGTATACGATACAAAAGAAGATATTTTGTTTCATGTTCATGTAATGAAAGTCAAAGGGGTTCAAAACAACACTGGACCTCATTTACTTTCATTATATGGAAAAAAAAATGTTAACAGTTTACAAGTTTTCATTTTTTTAACATTAACTATATTAGTTAACGAACAATATGCATATAGCATATATAGCATTTATTAATCTTAGTTAATACTAAATTCAAAATTCACTAATACATATATATAACAATGCTTTTATAAGTTAAAGGTCTTTTAGTAGTAAAGACCTTTTAGTATCGTGGTACAGATTTTGCTGTGTACAGAATTTTTTTAAGTAAACGTAAGAACGACTTTTTAAAAATCTCATTATTGATTTACATTACAAGCTATCAGAATGTCATATTGTTTTATAAACATATACTGTAAATATCACTCAACTGCATCATATTTTTGCTCCATTTGGACTTCTGAATAAAATTTAGGCATTTATTTCCCTCTATGAGTTTCATATTTTCCTGTATCATACAATATGAGATATAAAAGCCTGATGTATAAAATATTATACTCAACAAAACACATTTTTTGATTCCATTTCAAAATATTTTTTTTTTTCTTATTTCATATGTCAGGCTTTACAGGGCCAAGAGTAGAAACTTTTCCGTAGTCACCAATTAAAAAAAAAAAGCTTTAACTGGCCTAAGCTTGTTTCAGAGGGATTTCTGACACTTTGCTGGTTTTCGAAGGGTTTGGGGCAGGTTTGAGCTGGAAGACCAGATGGCCGACAGGCTAAACCAGCTGAACACCAGTTTGGTCAGTTTTGGAGACCAGCTGACCAGCTTAGCCTGGGTTTTCCAGCAAAAACCTTCCCGTTTATGTAATAGTAGCTGAACATCCCACTTACTCTTGGAGAGTGCACACTGTCTGTCCTGTAACTGCAGTTAAGACCTTGTCGTGTTGATTGGTGCCTGTGTTCGTCCAGGGAAAATCTGTCAGTGTGCGGTTCTCGCTGGTGGCTCCGCTGCGTCCTGCTCAACATTCTGCTCTTCCTCTTGCTCTTCTTTCTCACAACCCCTGCTATCATCGTAAACACTATGGACAAGTTCAACGTAACTCGGCCGGTTGAAAGCTTAAGGGTCAGTGACCATCAAAGCCGTTTTATAACTGTCCGGCTGTATTACGCCACATTAGAATGCGAAATAAAACTGAAAGTGCTTTTTTGTGTTGTTTTGGGAAGTCGAATGTTTTGAATTTGATCTTTTACTGTCTTCTACTGTCTAGAACCCAGTAATTACCCAGTTCTTCCCCACCCTGCTCCTGTGGGCCTTTTCCATTCTCCTGCCCTTCATTGTGTACTATTCATCTTTTTTTGAGTACCACTGGACCAGGTATGATGCTGTTTCCTCCGTCTGACTTTAAACTTTTGTCTGTGTATATATGTGAGAGAACTAGAGGGAGCTCAATTATACATTAAAGTGAATGAGTTGTACTGTAAATATAATTATAAAAAATAATTATTGTGTTATTAACACAATAAAATGTTGGTTTTTTTACTAATTTAATGCAAACTTATTGCAATAAGTTTCTAATATGATCCCAGTTGTATGTTAAAACAACATGATTTTGATTATCATAATGCATCTGGATTATACACTACCATTACAAAACTTGGGTTTGGTAAGATTTTATTTTATTTTTTTAAATAGGTGTCTTATGCTCACAAATGCTATATTTAATTTATCAAAAATACAGTAAAAATGTAAATATTTTAAAATATTATTATTAATATATTTTAAAATGTTATACATTAAAGTGAATGAGTTGTACTGTAAATATAATTATAAAAAATAATTATTGTGTTATTAACACAATAAAATGTTGGTTTTTTTACTAATTTAATGCAAACTTATTGCAATAAGTTTCTAATATGATCCCAGTTGTATGTTAAAACAACATGATTTTGATTATCATAATGCATCTGGATTATACACTACCATTACAAAACTTGGGTTTGGTAAGATTTTATTTTATTTTTTTAAATAGGTGTCTTATGCTCACAAATGCTATATTTAATTTATCAAAAATACAGTAAAAATGTAAATATTTTAAAATATTATTATTAATATATTTTAAAATGTAATGTATTCCTGTGATGGCAGAGCTGAATTTTTAAGCATCATTACTTCAGTCTTCAGTGTCACATGATCCTTCATAACTCATATGTTGATTTGGTGCTGAAGAAACATTTCTTGTTATTTTATTATCTGCAAACTCTTGCGCTGCTTAATATTTTTTAATGCTTATTATTTTTGTTATACTTTTTTCAGGATTTATTTATTTTTTAGTATTTTTAGAAATGTCAAAATAATTTATTTTAAATACTCATTTATTAATATTTCATATTTTCTCTTTAATATAGTTTTAACATTTAAATTGGCATAAATTAAAGGCAGTACAAATACTACCATAATGCATAAAAACTTTTAAAGTTAACAAATACGTTATTATTTATATTAAAATAGTGAGAATGTGATTTTCTTGCATTGTGGTAATGAGAATTGAGGGGAAGGTGTTGCTTGATTCACAACTATGAATATTGTACACACATAAATAGTAAATTCATGAAGCAGCTTCAGCCTAAGTTCTTTTCCCCCTTCCTTATATATTTAGGAAGACATTCCTCACACATACACATTTATCAACACACACATAAATGGGATTGTTCATTAAAAAATGAAACTTCTGTCATCATTTACTCATCCTCAAGTCATTCCAAGCATGCTTTGGTTTGCATGGACTTGCATTGCATGGAAAAAAATTTTTAAAAAATAAAATAAAAGAAAAAAATAAATCAACAACAACACCAAGACATTTATCAAAATAAATCAAACAATAAGTCATACAACACACATGATTTTTATCCAAGTGATGGTGTCCCAATGAGCAGTATAAGTTTGTGCTATTGGTAGTTGTATTTGCATTGCAGCTTAAATCTATTGCATAAACATGTTCATATCAGCGCACAAACATATTGCATAACTGCAGAACAACCCCCAACCCAGTCTCCCACCCACCTATGCACAACACGTTTACATGGTGTCCCTCTCTCCTGCTTTCTCCGCATGCCTCTCCAGGCTTGTTGTCATAGTGATCACAACAAGGGAATAATCATATGCACACTGGCGGCGTCTTTCACAGAGTCACATTATAGTTCATGTGGATCAAACCCTCTGTATTGTGCAACTGCAGAACCTGCAGCACTTGAGTATCTGTTGTATTTCCACTGGAAACACTGATGATTAATATACACAAGTCAACATGAAATCTAATTTTAATATTTACTTCATACATTTACATTTTTTTTAACCATGAAATATGCCACTTGAGGCAAGAATTGTGTTTTATGTCTGTCTAATAGAAGAACTGGTGTGAAAATAGAAGAGAAATTAATAATGCATCATGTAAACATCTGAAAATGTGTTTATTTATTATTATTTAATATATTTATTCTATTTGTTGAGGTGAAATCTGTTGAATTGTCTTATTATGTGTGTCTCTTTCAGGTCCGGTGAGAATCAGGTCACCATGCATAAATGCTTTTTACTGCTTGTCTTCATGGTAATCATTCTACCGTCACTGGGTCTATCCAGGTAAACATCCTATAATCTGAAATACAGTAATTATAGGCTATATAATAGCATGCCAATAAAAGCACTTCAAGCTAAAATATACCTTTTTGGTAATATACTGTTTTGTGAAACGTGTAATTTTGTCTCAGGATAACATTTTTCCTTCCTATACAGTACTATATATATGTATGTGGGTCAATGATAAACAATGATGTCCCAATTATGCCAACATTTTTTTTTTTGTAAAGAATTTCAGTCTTTTAATGAGGCTTTTTTTTTTTTTTTTTAAATCCCCAGACAGTTACACCACCTAAACATGTTTGAAATTGATCCCCATAAAAATATCAAAATGAATTTTAACTCAAAAACTGAAAACATGTTTATAGTAGAAGATTCATTTTTATGAACTTCATTTTAAAATGTATAGCAAGCAGATGTTTTAACTCACACAACATAAAACAATAGATAAAGGCTATCAGAGAGTATCCAAACACTTGGCTGGCAAAAAACATTAGTCTATGTTTTCTAAACAAGAAAGAATATTCATAGTTAATGTGATGAACTGGTGGTTACTCTGCAAGGTAATGTGTGGACTGGCGGGGAAATGACTTCATACACCCCTATAAATCACCTTAAAGCCAGTTAGTAAAAAGGAACTGAACAAATGGCTGATACTGTATATTGGCATTAATAAAGTTTAAGTGTCCAGATACTTTTGGTAGCCACTGTATATATAATGTACATGTATTATCTTCTTGTCTGCTCCCCAGCCTGGATTTGTTCTTCAGGTGGCTCTTTGACATCCACTTCCTGGATGAAACAGATGTAAAGTTTCAGTAAGTTGCCTAAATCTACATCTGCTGGTTAATTGAATTAGAACTGCAAGATTCACAATTTGTTGAGACCTACATCCACTTTGTTTTATCCCCTCAGATGTGTGTTTTTGCCTGATAATGGAGCTTTTTTTGTGAACTACGTGATCACGTCCAGTCTGATCGGAACGGCTATGGAGCTTCTGCGTATTCCTGCTCTTCTGGTGTACTCTCTACGCCTTTGCTTTGCCAAATCTAAAGCTGAACGCATACATGTTAAAAGAGTGAGTGAGTCCGTACAGGGAATAGTGTGTGATGTCTCTTATAGCTGAAGGCTTCGTTTATTTGATCATTTTTATCTTATCAAATATAGTAAAAACAGTCAATTCCTACAATTTAAAATAATTGTTGTATATTTAATATGTTTAAATTGTTATTTATGTCTGTGATAGCTAAACTGAATTTTCAGCATCGTTACTGTAGTCTTCAGTAACACATGAACCTTCAAAAAAATTGTAATATGATAATTTGCTTCTAAAGAAATATTTCATATTATAAAGACTGAAAACAGTTTTGCTGCTTAATATTGTTTGATAAATATAAAGTTAAAAACAACAGCATTTATTTGAAAAAGAATTAGTTGTGTAACAATGTAAAGATCTTGACTGTCACTTTTGATCAATTAGATGCAACCTTGCTGAATAAAAGTATTAATGTCTTTAAAAAATATAACTAAAATGTGAACATCTCTAGTATGTATATGTAAAATTATACTTATAAGTAAAGTAATAATGTATATATATAGTAGTGCTGTCATACAATTAATCGCGATTAATCGCATCCAAAATAAAATAAATAATGAATATACACAGTTCACACACATATATTATGTAAACAAAAACTTTTATTTTGGATGTGATTAATTGCGAATAATCATTTGACAGCACTAATATATAGTAATTGTCTAGAACCCCCCCAAAAAATATTCTGTATTAATAGTTCTTTATTAACATTCTTATTCATGTTCATGTCGTCCCAAATGCAAACACTATTAAACTAAAGAAGAATATTTGAAGAATCTTCACACAGCTCTTTTCCATCCAACGACTGTTCATAGCACCAGAAATAGGAGTAAATACACTAAAAACCTGTTTCTCCATTCTCATCCTCAGAGTCAGGCCTACGAGTTTCAGTTTGGTCTTGAATATGCCTGGACCATGTGCATATTTTCAGTCAGTATGACCTACAGCATCACCTGCCCCATCATTGTACCATTTGGTGAGTCTGCGTAATTTTAGAGTTTTTATTTGACAACAAACAGACTTTTCTTTTAGTACTTCTTTTCCGCTCCTTAATTTCCTCTTTCCTCCCAATTTGCACTCAAATCCATTTGTCTGTCATCTTCACTGCACCATTTGTGTCGTGTTTTTCTTTTCCTCTCATTTTCTCTGTTCCTTTTTACCCACAGCTCTATTTTTTCTTTCCGTCAGTCTTGATTTCTACCTCCGTGCCTGTTCTAATACCTCGTTCCCATCCTCAGTCAGTGTGTGGGCGTCTGAGCCGTATCTCCAACAGCATCTCAGTATCACGGTGTGACATGGCCGCTAGGTGCGAACCCGCTGTAGTCTTCCAGACGCTCCGACCCGTCTAGCCGAGATCCAGACGCCCACTCCACGCCTGTTCTGTCACCAATACACACCATGACTGTTTATTTACTATAGACTGACATCCATCATCATGATTTTTCACTTAGTTCTGAATTCATTTGGCAACTTGCACTCACGTGTGGTCTATGTAAACAGGTAAATATATAAATATTATACCTGTGCAGTAGCATACAAGGTCAGGAACACTTCATACAATATGACTTTACCTGCAAAGCATTGCTACTGAGCCATCGGAAAAGCACTTTTAAAAATGACAGTGTCATTTAGAAAGATCAAAGATTATTTGATAACTCCAGCTCTGTTCATTTCGCAGGGTTGCTGTACCTTGTACTGAAGCATATGGTAGATCGCTATAATATCTACTATGCCTATTTACCCACAAAGCTCAGCCAGCGGATCCATTCGGCCGCCATCAGTCAAGTGGTGGTGGCGCCCATTCTCTGCATGTTCTGGCTGCTGTTCTTCTCTGTGCTCAGACTGGGTAGGTTCACACAGGAACATCCTGCCTAATCAAATTTATGGGGCACATGCCCAACAGATTTGACAAAAAAAAAAAAAAAATTATATATATATATCTTTTCTATAAAATTTAAGAGCCATGATTGTCACACTTGATCAAGTAAATGCATCCTCAATAAAAGTATTAATTTCTTTATATATATATGCATTTTTTAATATTTCGTGGTTTTTTTTAAGAGTTTTTATTAAAATTGCAATGCTGTTCTTTTCTATAAAATTATAAAAGCCATGACTGTCACACTTGATCATTTAAATGCATTCTTGCTGAATAAATGTATTAATTTATTTTAAAAATATATTTGAATGGCAGTGTATAATTGAACTGATATTGATAGTGATTGTCTAATGCCCCCAAGAAAATAATAATTATTTATTCACATTTATGTCATTCTAAACAGTTTTTTTTTTTCTGTGGTACACTAAAGAAGAATGTCTGAAGAATATTCACACTGCTCTTTTCCATATAACAGCTGTTCATAGTGACTGTCAGGCACAAGAAATGGCATTAAATACACTACATATCTATTTTTCCATTCTCTGTCCTACGAGTTTCAGTTTGGTCTTGAGTATGTCTGGCTGGACCATGTGCATATTTTCAGATACTGTAGTTGAATCTGTTATTTTCTCTAAAATTCTGAAAGTACGTACTGAAGTTGTACTTGCATTAAATGTTTGGGGGTTTTTTTGTTAAAAATATAACCAAACCACATAAAAAAACAATACTGCACTTGGGCAGTACCTTTTCAAAAGATACACCTTTGTATCTAAAGGGTACCTTTTGAAAAGGTATGGCCCCAGTGACATCTTTTGTACCTTTTTTTTCTGAGAATGTGCCAAATAAATCCAAGGCTTTCCTTTCAGATTATAAAAAAAAACTTCCAATTAAAAACATTACTAGAATGACTGCATAACCTATGGATGAAAACCAAATGCTCTAATGCCAGCATTAGAATGTGTTCACATTTTACTGTAGAATACATGTTCACTTGGAGTCAAGAAGACAGTCACTCCAAGACCCAGACCAGACCCCATCTTGGAACAAGACTAGACCACTTCAGGCCTAGATCCAGACCAATATCTAAGCACCAATGCTCAGATTCAGACTGTCCATTTACAATGAACTAGAAAGGAGAAAATGTGGAAATTATTACAGCATAAATTCTAAATGCTAAGCCACTTTGACAGTAGCTAATTAGAGTCATGAAAATCCTTGCAAAATCTCTGTAATGGTGAAGATACTTTGCTGACCTTTGCCTGAGGTAATTCGTGTAAAAAAAAAGTTTTTTTTTGTTTTGGAAATTGCAGTCAAGACTGAGGTCTTGTCTAAGTACATATAACAAAAAAACATTTCCAGAACCAGACCCAAACCAAGAGACTAGTAATGAGACCCAGACCCAGACCAAGGCCATGTTTATGTGGTCTTGAGAGATCTTAAGACCAAGACCACAAGATCAGGTCTCCTGCTCTGTCCCATATAAAAGCAAAACCTCGTGGTTTATCTCTTGTGCAGGTCCAGTGCAGCCCATCAGTCTGTTCACTTTCATAACTCTCTTGTGCTGTATTGCCTTCTCCTGCTTTGGCTTCTGTCTGAAAAAACTACGACCTGACAGATCAACAAGCTATCAGGTCAGTGATTAAACCTTGATCTTGATGACTTGTAGAAACAGGGTGCATATGGTGGAAAAAAATAGTTAATGAGTTAATGAGTGAATATCTAGCTTATATTTCACACCAAAACCATCAGAAAAAAAAGTAATTCTATTTTTACATTAAGCAAAATTGCATTTATAATTTGTTGCATTGTGACATTATTGTTATGACAGTTTAACACATTTTCATTTTCAGAAATTAACAAGGACATGGGGGCATTTTACATTTATATTATATGATATGGTTAAGCAATATCACACAAGCAGAGGGTTTTTAAAAGCTATGTTATATTGATTCTATACAACAGTTAAACACATTTTAGACACAATATTGAGGATATTGTCTGTTTTTGCTTTATTTCATGAAAATTGCCACAGCATAAACATTGTGCATTTCCAATCAGCACAAAGTGGTGTTGTGTTACTAAATAAATCTGTGCTTTTTAAATGAATCGGTTGGGTGAATGATTCAATGACCCATTCATAAAGATATCACTTGCTTCATTGCTGAACGATTTATATCACCTATTAGCACCCAGGATCATGATTCTGATTCCCAGGGAGCACATGAGCTAAAAATGATAAAGATATATACCTTGAATGCAGTGTCACTGTTATTTGCAGTTGGCTTATCTGTTTCATCCATGAATACCCCCAAATGTGTACATGCATTAACAAAGTTATGTTTTAAAAACAGGAAAGTTTATGATTGTTACCTTAACAACTAGATGCATTTGTCAACAGTGCAGCTGTCAGACTCTGTTCCATGTTTTGTGTGTGTCCTGCTCCCCATGTGCCTTCCCAACGGACCGAACAGTAAGCGGCATCCCTTGCCTGTGTTTGATTTCCGGTTTTTGTACGTTTTTGTTTTGCCCCTTTTTCCCGTGCGCTCCTCCACGTCCCCATATGGAGGAGCAGCCTTGAAAACTCTGAAATGAAATTATTTTAGATGGGCTTTGAAAATAAGCTCTCAAATATGATTTATTTAGGAAAATAATATCTTCAGGCAGTTAAAACTGATTGCTGTTTTGTTTTGTTGCAGATGTCCGATCAGACGAGAGAAGGAGGCTTCACTGATGCGGAAAGAAGCACCGTTTCCACCACAACCACAGCTAATGTACCTGCTCATCCTGTCACAGATCATTTCATTCGTCACACTATCATTTCAAGTCTTCTTTATGAAATTAATTTGTCTCTCTCCTCTCATCTCCTCTAAGGTTTCCACATGTAGCATGTTGCATAAACAAAAAAAGAAGCTCTTAAGATAATGACACTCTTGCTGTCCACATACTCACCTCTCATTCGTTCCTTCCTCAGCTTTTTATAGCCTCTGTCTTGCTGGAGCCAGAGCTGGGCCTGACTCCCATGCCCTCTCCGGCCCACCAGAGCTACGGCACCATGGGGAACAACCAGAGTTCAGTGCATGACGCCGAAGGGGTGGAGGAGAAGGATCTGGAGGAAACTTTGGAGACTGAACTCAAGGATGAGCCAAATCCCAGCTGCCCGAGCCCTCTCATGGACAGTCCTGTGGGTTTCCAGTGACCAACCTGCCCCCGGTTCCCACTCCCTAACGCTCAAGCCCCATGCCTCATCTTAGCTAGTGGCTGATAAAGAGGCACTATGCTGCAAAATGTTTCCTCTACAACCTCCATTTACGAGTAAAAGACAACAAATTGCAGACATCCAAGCAAACTGCTTCAAAAAGCTTGTTGGGAATTCACTGACATGGTGGTTTTAGTTCTGAGGACTTTGATGAGCTTTCAAGGAAGTATCTGAAGTGGATAAAAGCAAAGATCTGTCAAAGAACGAGACCAGACACTTCTTTTGCTCGGACTACACTTTCTACTTTCTTCTGTGTTTTTCTTTTCTCTCTAATGACGTTAATGGGTGTCTGGTGGGTTGGTTGACTGAGGCTTGGAACATTGTATTTCAACAGATGTTTCAATTTTCTTTTTTTATGCATAGTCACAGTTTATAGCTCCAAAGAGTTGAGACATCCAAATCTTATTCGCTTATTATTAATCCTCTTGCTGTTGTTGCAGTTTGTGCTTATTATTGTTATTTTTATTCAGTACTTGTATTTTAGCAATGGTACGTAATTGTGCAACATTATGCTGAGAGCGCATTGTTTTCATGTGTTTACTATTATTAGATTATTATTACTGTTATTAACACCCTCAACCTTTATTGCAGTGTGCATCAGAGATTGTTTGTTTTGCAGTGACAATAGCAGTTGTGTTGTGCATACTGCAGTCAATTGGCACTACAGTAGATTTCAAAGTCAACGAGGCACTCATTCCATAATTTGTTTTTTTTTTTCCTTTCCTGTGAAATTCAGTCAGTTGTTTGGTCTGTGGGAGAGATGTGAGGACATTCGAAAGTGAGCTTTTCACGGACTAATATACAGTCTAATTTAGCAGACTTCACTTAATGAACTGAAAAAAATATCTGCAAAAACAATCCGTTTGTAGGAAAAAAGACAACAAACAGAGATGTTAAAGGAATAATCAAAAAGACTTAAGCTTTGTTGGCATAAATTTAACTCGCTCAGTTTCTACAGTAACACACTTACAATATGGTCTATGGAGCATTTACAGAAGGATTCAAGCTCGAAAACCCATTTATATTAATGCTCCAGGCAAATAAATAACCACTGACTTCTAAAATTAAACATTGTCTTTTTTGGCCAGCAAATTATGTAATTCCTATATGTTCAGAATCACTTAAGTCATTGAGTTCATACCTTCCTACTTCAGCATTTAATACCAGTTATTATAAACTATGAGTTATATAAACTATGATTTGTTTTAATAGTTGTATTTAGTCAAATTTGTTTCAGTTGTATGTTATTTGTGCCATAAACAGGGAGTCCGTTGGTAGAGGGAGTCAACTTGGTAGCAGCTCAGAACAATTTCCTGACTGATTCAAATAGTAATTCATGAGCGAACTCGAGGCTGTTACGTGAATCTTTTTGACTTAAAGAACCAAAAGAGTCATTTTGTTACGAATCGGTCATCCCGCTCTTTGTTCCTTCGAGCGCGCGTTCTAAGGATTGTCTGACAAAATCACATTTGAGCGTGAAGTCTTTCACAGCTTGTTTTTACATTTTAGTCACCGTCTAGAGCCCTGTGTATTAATATAAAAGTGTGTTATTTGAACTGTAAGTCATTTTCGGTTTACATCATCCAAAAGACGAAAAATTAAGATCTAAATTTGATCAGACAAGGTAAGCGGTTTTTCATGATAACGTTTACATTTCGTGGTTCTAGAATTGGAACATGTATTTTAGCATCTATTCTGGTCCAATTGACTAAGCCCATAGACTTTTATTGTATGTTTATTACTATAAATACAATTTTTGTTTGTTTTTACAAATTAAGGGATGAGTTGAAGTTGCTGATGGAGCTTGTATTAAAATCAGAACATTCCTTTAGGAATCATGAAATCCATGAAATATGTTGGTAAAATGATTTACAGGAAGTGTTACGACACAAACTGAAAATGGCACATTGGCTGATCCTACACACAAGTCTTCAATTCCAGAGTCTCCAACTGCATGTTGTTTAACTCTGCCACATGCTCAAACCAGCCTGCAGCTGTCTTTAGATCCGTCAAGTGTTGCTCTGGATTCTGTAACACTTTAATTTTCTTAGTACATTTTGTATTCTTGGTCTTTGCTGCTAGTGGTTCTAGGACTGGAAGGGAAGGGGTGGGTGGACTCGGGTTTTCTTGCCAAACTGAATGTAAATGAGTTGTGATTTGTACCGTGCTCTCTTGCTGTGCCTTGAAGAAACAGATCTTAAGAAGTAAACAGAAAAAAATGTTATGTCTGACAATCCAGCATGACCTGCAATATGCTGCATGGACTACAGAGCAAGATAAGACAAAGAGGCTAAATTCTAAAGCGCATTCCACCAATGAATCAATCAGGTGAGAGATTCCTAACAAGTTTTAAACTGACTTCACCTCGAAACATATTCTGTGCAAGTACATAAATGATTCGAGCTAAGTTGTTGATTTTGATTTCTGAAATGTGTCAGACTGTTGCATTGCATGTTGTCTTCTACAGTCATTTTTACTCTTTCAGGTCAACTACTGTCATGGCGAAGCAGCAGTTTGAGCAAGTTAATTGCTAGCACGCTAAACATATTCAACAAGGCAAATGCATTGACCAAATATTTGCGTCTGCATACTTGTGGGAAAGTATGTTTCTGGCCATACTGTTCAACAGTAAACAGTTGCATTCCAATCGCATCGAATTCACACTAATTATCATTGGTTTCACATTATCTATGAGATACACAAACATATGCAAACACTCTTACGTCAATGTCTTCAATACCTATCTGATAAACTGCTCTTGTGAGATACTTTTTGATATTTACTTTTGTTCTGTTTGCATTCGCAAGCTGTTGGTGTATACAAATGTGTTTTCGTTATTCAGTGTTGGTTTATGGAATGTGGCTTGAGGTGTCATGTCTTGTGACGGGGCGCTTATGACAGTACATTGCTGCACATTGTTACATTGCAGCAGCACCGCTAGTAAGGATATAAAACTAAATTTACAAAAACTTTATGCTGTCAAGTAGTGTCTTTATTTCATCATTCTATATGTAGTTTAACAAATTCCTAGCCTAACTAGTCCTGCACTGTTTGTGCTACACTGAGAAACATTTGGTGATGAAACTATTTTTACTCAGTAACTTCAAGTAAAGGGATAGTTCACCCAAAAATGGAAATTCTGTCATTAATTACTCACCCTTGTGTTGTTCCAAACCTGTAAGACCTTTGTTCATCTTCAGATCAGAAATTCAGATATTTTTGGTGAAATCCGAGAGTCTTCTGCCCCTGCATAGACAGCAATGCCACTACCACGTTTAATGCCCAGAAAGGTAGTAAGGACATAATTAAAATAGTTCGACTTTATTCAAAAATGTCTTCTCTTCCATGTCAGTCTTTTACACGTGTTCACGAGAGTACTACGACGCATTGTGTGTGCATTCCTCTGCTTTCAAAGCTCTCGGATTTCATCGAAAATATCTTAATTTGTGTTCTGAAGATGAACGAAGTTCTTACGGGTTTGGAACAACAAGAATTTTCATTTTTGGTGAACTTTAAGTTACTTACAAGTAACACACTGAATTAAACTTTAAATTTTCAAGTAGAAAGATTGAAATAGTGATAAAACCTACATTAAAGGAAGGACCCATCCTGATATAGAGACATGGGGACTGGGCATTCAGAAGACCTCAGGATCCACTAAGGTACCCCTGGTGATCTTTATAGCAACATTATCATGGGCAAGCACAGAAAATTTTATTTAGACAAAAAAAAAACATTTAAGTTTCATGCAGCAGTCTCAAAAACATTTTTCCTATAAGTGTTCTTCAGACTCAGTCTCAGAAAATGAAACGTCGCCACTTAATTAAATCTCCTGCCATACCAAAAGACAGCCAGTGGTCACTTGACTGGTCAACGCTTGAAAACTGCCAATTATGTTTTTCCTGCACACTAGATGTCATTACCATGTGTTATGCGTGTATATGTGTGTGTGTTATGAGACACCACTGCAGCACAACAACTGAAGCCGCACATGAGAAATGCTTCCAAAAAGTAGGACATGCACACTCAATCATAATGGAGCCGAATAAAATGTGGACTGATGTTCTGCTTCACTGAGCTTCTTCTATGCAGCCTCTTAAAATTCATGATTTCTTAAATATCTGTTCCTTAGACTTGTTATAAAGACCACAACAGTAGGTTACTAGAAAGGAATTAATTTGCAATATATTCCAGGATCTCAGTTATGGAAGTTTCCATTTCTATATGGAAAGTTCCATAGGTTGAGTAGTGCTAATAAATGGAATTACATGTGTCCCACCATCAGATGCTTTTGGAAATATGAAATAAACCCATAAAAATGAAAGATATTTTGATACTTACAGTTTTTCTCAGTCGCTTTGGTGCATTTCTCAAATCACTATTTACATTTGCACAACAGTTAATGCAGTTCTCAAAACAATTAGTACAAACTGCAAAACCTAGTGATGTGAGAAATGCACCAAAGCGACTGAGAAAAACTGTAATTGATTTGCCCTTTGAATCGCTGTGAATGTCCATCCACAAGCAGTCTTTGGTTTATTTAGGGTATTCAGCGGTTTTTGTCGCAGCTATTATTTTCCTTTCTTTTGCAGAACTGGCAGGAATATCTGACAGAAGGCCAAAATGTGGATACATCTAAATCTCTAAACATTTTTCCAGAAGTAACAACCGGGAGACAGAAACATTCTATGATTCTATACTGGGCTGTTTGTTTGTGCCACTGCTGGTCCGTATGCATGTGCTGAGATGTGCTTATGCAAGGACACTGACCCAACCATGTGTCCATGCACACATTCAGATAAAATTGGCTTACCAAATGGTTAGAGATAGATAGATAGATAGATAGATAGATAGATAGATAGATAGATAGATAGATAGATAGATAGATAGCTAAAGACAGACGGACAGACAGGTGGATGGATAGACGGACGGACGGACGGACAGACAGGTAGATAGATAGATAGATAGATAGATAGATAGAAGACAGACGGACAGACAGGTGGATGGATAGACGGACGGACGGACGGACAGACAGGTAGATAGATAGATAGATAGATAGATAGATAGATAGATAGATAGAAATGACTCGCTAACTTACATGCAGTAACTGCAATGAGTGGAAAAGTTCAAATGTTCAGATTAAAATGATCCCGTGTGGACATAGTAGCACAACTTGCCTTTGCCAGGACTTTTCGGGATTAATTACACTGATGTTTACCTTTCAGCGGGGTGAGAATTCCCTGATGGTTGCGGTGATTAATATGTTGGAGGCATCAAATGTGGCTGAGTATATGCCACAGCTCACCTCTCTAATGACAGGCTGTGAAGAGAAGTGAGTCTGCATACTAATGACCACAGTTTGACCTGGCCCTACACAGTCAACCCAGTTATTTATGTGTGTGAGTGTGTATTGCTATAGAGAGATGGAAAATTACCAGTTTAACTGATAGTAAGAGTCATGGTTTTGCACTATTGTTCAGATGTCACATATGAATACTAAATATTATATTTTATGCTGCAAATATGACACATAAACAGCACCTGAAGTAGCAAAAAGAATACAAAATGTTCCATTTACATAGA